ATCTTAATTATTGCCTTAATTGATATCTCCCTATCATAGTTATATTCTCATTATTGATATGATTATTTTCTTTATTATCCATAATGTGTGTTTCCCTTCTACGTCGTGCAGAGACCATGTTTTTTCTTTTCTTTTCTTATGCTTATTCACTAATTCAGAGGTAGGTAAGACCATAGATAAACAGGTTAATTAAAGATAGATAGACATACAGGTAGACAGAGAGAGACATATAGATTCAAAACATCTCTATAGAACCTTGATAGACATTAGGGTATCAATAAAACACACTCTGATTGTTACAAGATAATGAATACTTTATTATAATCTTCAGATCAGACATAAAGCTTCCTTATCATTATTCTGTTTTTACCCTTTATTTCTCTAATGTAGATAATGCTATATATCATTATTGTTTTAAAGACCCTTTTTATTTTCCCCAAATACCCAGCATTCAGCACGGTTCCCACAGCATCTTCTTCAACTCGGTAATGATGGCGCTAGTTAACGTGGCTAAAGGAGTGATTCTCAATTTTTTTTGTTTTGTTTTTTTGCTAGTATGCAATAATTAGGATTCAAGCTTGAACATCTATCTATTGGAAACACAGTCAAGGAAAGTTGTCAGCTGATTGAGTGCGGGATGGGTCGCGGAAAATGCTCTTTAAAAGATGTACTTGTATTTCGCTTGTTCTCTAAATGGTGTTCTGTGTGTGTGTGTGTTCTCGCTATGTGTTATTCTTTGTTATTATGAGTTATGTGTTTCAGGGAGGTTCTGCCGTGTTGGGTCAGAATGAGGTGGATGTTGTTCTAGAATTCATGATTGTGAGTTGTGTGAACTTTTTTGGAATAACACTCTCTGATATGTATTAAGAATGACACAGATATGGAGGCAAGGACTAGTTTATATACATATCAAGTATATGTTTCTGCATATACTTATCACTGATGTGAATGTGTGTGTGTGTATATGTATATATATATATATATATATATATATATATATATATATAATATATATATATATATATATATATATATATATATGTGTGTGGTGTGTGTGTGTGTGTGTATGTATATTATATATATATATATAATATATATATTATATATATATATATAATATATATATATATATAGTACATATATATACATATATATACGTATATATGTATATCTAATATGTGTGTGTGTGTACATGTGTATGTGTATGTGTATGTGTGTGTGTGTGTGTTTGCATGTACACACACGCACACACACACACATACACTTAAGCATGTATGCATGTATACACATGTATATGACTGTGTTCTGATATGTCATCTTATCCAAACAATCATTTGATTCTATTTCCTATGAAGATATATATAGAAATAAACAAACATAAATTAAAACTCACAATAGAGAGTGGTATTATGGATCAACTGTGTCCATTCATAGCGAAGCCAAAATCAAAACTGAATAAACCATATATATTTCAAACAAGGTAATTCCTTTTTATATAGACATCACACCATTCTTCTCAAAACAGGGTTAATGTAATGGTTTACGAAGCGACAGTAATACACACGTACATTAATAACCACTCCATGCACACATCTTATCTGTCTGTATTGTCATTTTGATATAATGCTTTTCAACTTTATCTTTAACACACAAAATCAGTCCTTATAGACTTCTTTCACTGCCAAGTAGGACTCAGTATTTTTATTTTCTCTTTGGGGGGTATTTTTAAAAAATTCTTCCCAACCGTTATTTCTTAAGAGATTATGCTCATAAATAATCTAGAAATACCTATTGCATCTTCTAACTGCAAAGAACAAGGAAGAGAGACAGAGTGAAAATTCCCGACTATCCTACACAGTTACTCTAAAACTCTACGACATCCAGATTCAAAAGTGGGACAGAGGAGGCGGGGGGGGCGAGCGAGTGGCCCTGTTCGGCTGGATTGCAGTGGCACTGGGCTGGTGCTCTTGACCTGTTCGGCAGAGGTCGTATATGAATTTATATATATACATGCACACATACATATATATATATATATAATATATATATATATATATATATATATATATATATATATATATATATATATATATATAATATATATATATATATATATAATATATATATATATATATATATAATATATATATATATATATATATATATATATATATATATATATATTATATATGTATATTATATGTATGTATATATATGTATATGTATGTATGTATATATATACAGATATATATATATATATAATATATATATATATATATATATATATAATATATATATATTTATTGTATACACACACACACATACACACACACACACACACACACACACACACACACACACACACACACACACACACACATATATATATATATATATATATATATATATATATATATATATATATATATATATATATATATACATCATTGTGTGTGTGTATAATATGTATATATACGTTTGTGTGTGTGTATGTATGTAAGTGTGAGTATGTGTCTGTGTGTGTATGTGTGTGTGTGTAAGTATGAGTATGTGTGTATGTGTAACCCTCTCCTCACCTCCTCTGATTAAACCTAAACTCAGACTTCAGATTTTTAGACCTTAAAAAGAGATCTGAACGACTCCACTCGTTCTTTCCAAAACAACGTCCCGTAGAACCAAAGCAAATCCTGCTACGGTTTCCGAAAGTAGAGAAAAGAGACAACCCATCTAAGCCACGATTGAACACGGAGAGCTAGCCTTTACAACGGAACCGCGGACTACACTCGGAAAACAACAAAGGGTGGCTTACTGACAGCATTCTCCGGTCGCCTCAGGGAAGCAAGAGAGAGAGTGGACTGAGAGCAATGTTACACTTGACACGTCGTTAGGGAGTCGAACGCGTGTATATGGGGTGTTTGGCTGGACTTCAGGTCGCCACGAGAGGGGTGTGTGTGTCACTGGCAAGACATCAGCTTTTTGTATTTTTTCACCTTTTTTCTTTTCTTTTTTTGTCAGTGATTTTCATGTGATCTTTGTTATTTTTCTTTTAAATCTAATTCATTTTGCGTTTTTCTTTTTTCAGTGAAATTTATTGTCATTTTTTTTTCTTGTGTTTTTTTCTCCCTTTTCTCACGTGCGTAAAAAATATTCCCCGAAAGGAAATTTAATTGTTATTGCTCGTCGTGTATTTAATGCATTATTGCTTCAGTAGAAGAAAGATTTCGTCAATAACGTCCTCTTTTTAGATATTGCAAGATGAATATGCCTGACCCCGTTTTCATCATACTCTCTTCATTCATTCAACTTTGCTCTCTCTCTCTCTATCTATCCATTATATATATATATATATATATATATATATATATATATATATATATATATATATATATATATATATATATATATAATATATATATATATAATATGCATATAAATATATCTATATTTACATATATATATGTACATACATACATACATATATATATATATTATATATATATATATATATATATATATATATATATATATATATATATATATATACATATATATAAATATACATATACATATACATATATATACATATATATATATATATATATATATATATATATATATATATATATATATATACATACACACACACACACTCACATACACACATACACACACACAAATGCACACAAACACAAATGTATATATGTATATATGTATATATATATATATATATATATATATATATATATATATAATATATATATATATATATATATATATATATACATTATATATATATATATATATATATATATATATATATATATATATATATATATATATATATATATATATATATATATATATATATATATATATATATATATATATATATAATATATATATATATATATATATATATATATATATATATATATATATTATATATATATATATATATATATATATATATATATATATATATATATATATATATATATATAATATATATATATATATATATATATATATATATATATATATATTATATATATATATATATGTATATATATATATATATATATATATATATATATATATATATATATATATATATATATATATATACATATATATATATATATATATATATATATATATTATATATATATATATATATATATATGTATATATGTATATATGTATATGTATTATATATATATGTATATGTATATGTATATGTATATGTATATTATATATATATATATATATATATATATATATATATATATATATATATATATATATGCGCATAATATATGTATTTATATATACACACATTATCTTCTCATCTGTCACTGCTGTCTTTGTGCCTGGCAGTGCCACCCCCCTCGTGGCTCTCTCAAGACGCCCACACGCCCTTGGTGCCGCCCACCCATCATATACATGCAGTTCCTCCTCGCCCTCTCCATCATTAATGTAAATTATTGCTACAGACACTTCCGTCACCACCACCACCACCACCACCACTGTAGGCGACTACAAAAGTAAATCTTAACCACAGGACACCATAAGCAGTGTTGTGATAGTGCCATCAGTCCCAGCACCACCATACCTTGCTGTCACTACACTTAACCATTAATTCTTATCTGTATCAGTACTATTTTTTTATTATCATTACTTCTGTCGGTACCTATCTTCACCACGAGCTGTTGTCGACATCAAGGACAAAACCACTATGCCATTCTACACCCGAAGGAAAAAAAAAAACAGACGTTGCTACCATAATTCCCATACCAATACGGACCTAATACCATCATCCCATACCACAACCCACAGCAATCACCGCATTTACCACATACCGAAGCCCAGAAGCCTCATCGCATCCCACAAACCACGGACCATGTGCCTAAAACAACCCACATATCCACAACATAGGAAACGCTACAACCCGAACCCACACCCGTTTCGTGCGCCGACCCCCCAGCCTCGTCCTCGTCCTC